CTCGCTCGCTCGCTCGCTCTCTCGCTCGCTCGCTCGCTCGCTCGCTCGCTCCTCGCTCGCTCGCTCGGCTTGCGCGTCCTCCCGCCGTTCGTTTTTGTGTTCCTCTCCCGCCTCTTTCTCCTTGCCGTTGAGTGTCCTTACCCCATGTTAGGTTGTGTTTCGTTTACAACATTAGATCTACCATTACCGACTACTCCTGAGTGGATCTAACGACTACAGATTGCTGTAATTGTGATCTTACTACTTTAGAGTACGATCTTTAATAGTTACATTTGGGTTAAGAATTATTGGCCGACATGGCCCCAATTGCTCTATGGATAATGAATGCCGAAGTGCTTTACCTGCCGTGTTGGCCTACCTCACGGTGGTCGTTTTCATCCACTTGGTAGTCTTGAGAACGGTCTACCATCGCCCCTTCAATCTTCAATGAAGAAATCAGGTGGCAATTTTTGTACATGGCTAAGCCGGTCCATGTACAAGCACTTTGCTGAAGTACTCTGGCTACCTTATCTCTTGTCATAGTAGGCCCGTTGGGGAAGGACAGGTGTCATGAGCAAGCTCAATCTAACTCCGACAAAGGAAAAGGCAATCACTAGTGAGAGGCAATAGAAGGGGCGTACCCAACATCATGTGAAAACACCCTATTGATGTTATGAGGAATGTTCATGTCCCTACAAAACAGACTCACACCAGTGCATTCCTGGACCTCTTAAAGTCGCCCAACAACACTACTGAGATGACTTCTGTTGGTTTGGAAAAATTCTCTGTGTTTTCATTATAGATCTACTGTTCTTCCCGCCAGTTTAGAGTTCTCTGGATACCTTTGTTTAGGTTTCTGCTTGACTGTACTCTTCAATTTGAGATCAATGTAGTATGTATATGCGATCGTTTAGTATACATCGATGTCTCCGGTACATCGATTCTCCTAAAACAAGGTGCTCGGCTGTATTCATTACCTAATATGTGTATTGAATGCGTTTTGATTAGGTTTAAACCCTGCAAGATCGGTTAGTAAGGCATATTTTTTCAGATAGTTTGGTTCATGAATGAAGTTTGTGCCAGATTTATACGATTTAGTGCTCCTTGGTTTTTGCAGTTGGTATTTAGAATTTGGGAATATTCCCAATGCTAAATATTAGAAGAACTTGTAGAACCTCATTCAGAAGAGTCGTTGATGTCGGTAAATCCGTAAGAAATCAGTTAAATACATAATTAGGAACACTTTATTGGAGAAAGAATTAAATTCTTTTAAAATTTTTTATCTATAAATGATGCTTTTCTGACAGATCTAATAATTTTGCTTTAGCAGAACAAAAAATCCGATTGATCCGGTTCAGAAATATGCAAGTTAGATATTTCTAATTTGTAACATCTTTAGGGGTAAATATAGGACTGCAACATAAAGATTATCTAACATTTTTTATGACTTTGTATGTGGAAACTATTGTCTTAAGTTTATAACTCCTTTCATTATAATTTTTTTATGAAAAAAAGTCTTAAAGTTCAAAAAGCATATCAGGTATATCAAACTAAACTTCTTGCTTTGATTCAATAACGGAAATGTCAGAAATTATAAGAAAAAACCTTCAGCAATCTTAATACCACTCAACTCTCTAAATGTAGAGTGCTTTTCAAATTTAACCCAACCATTCTTAATACATACACACAATACAAATTTTCTTGTTTTTCCTTTTCGAATTTAATGTATTTTCCTTTCCATACACACATTCTATATCCTGTTGAAATCCTTTAGAATTTTAACTTCATAATTTGTTGCTCTCACTCTCTCATTGCGTATTTTTCCATCATTTGTCTAACTCTCTATTGTATACACTTTAACTCTCCTTCTCTCTTTATGTAGTTTACTCTCCCTCTCTCATACACTCTTTAGAGCTTATTATTCCTTAAAAACATTGTTTATTTACATAATTTTTCTCGAACACGTTTAACTTCTACCCCCATTCTAGATATGAACATTTTAAAAGTTCATAGCACAAGTTGTAAAAAATTGTATAGTACAACATTGATAGAAAAAACAACAAAAATAATACATACAAGAAAATTTGAGAAAAAGTATAGAATACCGGCCGGCGCCATTTATGTTTAAACAATGTTGCTTTTCGAAAATATAACACAGGAAATACACACAAAAAAGGATGTTAAGTACACTGAGAAAAAAATTTATTTGCTATTGCACAAACTATATAGACTATAGTCCAGACTATAGACTATAATTCAGACTACTGACTACAGTCCAGACTATAGTTTATAGTCCATACTTTAGACTATAGGCCAGACTGTAGACTATAGTCCAGACTATAGGCTATGTGCCAGACTGGGGACTATAGTCAACACTGTCGACTATAGTCCAGACTGTGCGCTATAGTGCAGACTGTAGACTATAGGCTATATTATAGTCCTGCCAATAGATTATAGTTCAGACTATATTCTAGACTATTGACTATAGTCCAGACTGTAGACTATATTCCAGACTATAGACTACTGACTATAGACTATAGTCCTGCCAATAGATTATAGTTTAGACTCTAGATTATAGTCCAGACAATAGTTCTGATGACTATAGTCCAGACTATAATCTCTAGTCCAGACTTTAGACTATAGGCCAGACTGTATACTATAGTTCAGACTGTAAGCTATAGGCCAGACTGGGGACTGTAGTCAACACTGTAGATTATAGTCCAGACTATGACTGTAGGCCAGACTGTACACTATAGTGCAGACTGTAGACTATAGACTATGGTCCTGCCAATAGATTATAGTTTAGACTCTAGTTATATCTCATACTATAGTCAAGATTATAGTCCAGACAATAGTTCTGATTGTATACTATAGTACAGACTATAGACTATAATTCAGACTACTGACTATAGTCCAGACTATTATCTATAGTCCAGACTTTAGACTATAAGCCAGACTGTAGACTATAGTCCAGACTACAGGCTATAGGCCAGACTGGGGACTATAGTCAACACTGTCGACTATAGTCCAGACTATGACTTTAGGCCAGACTGTACACTATAGTGCAGACTGTAGACTATAGGCCAGACTATAAACTACAGTCCTGCCAATAGATTATAGTTCAGACTATATTCTAGACTATAGACAATAGTCCAGACTGTAGACTATTTTCCAGACTATAGACTACAGACTATAGTCCTGCCAATAGATTATAGTTTAGACTCTAGATTATAGTTCTTACTATAGTCAAGATTATGGTCCAGATTATAGACAAGAGTCCTGATTGTATACTATAGGCCAGACTGTAGACTAAAGTATATACTATAGACTATATGCTATAGTCCAGACTGTAGGCTATAGTCCAGACTATAGACTATATGCCAGACTATAGACTACAATCCAGTATATAGACTATAGTCCAGACTATAGACTTTTGGCCAGATTGTAGACTATAGCCCAGACTATATTCCAGACTGTAGATCAATAGATTATAGTTCAGACTATAGTAAAAACCTATAGACTATAGTCCAGAATATAGACTATAGTCTAGCCTATAGATAGTTCAGACTATAAATTATAGTCCAGACTATTGACTATAGTTCTGATTATTAACTATAGTTCTGACTGTACAGTCCAGACTAACGTTTAGACTATAGACTATAGTGTATTCTATAGATTAGTCTGGACTAGTCCAGACTATAGTTTAGACTATAGACTACTAATCCAGACTAAATAATCTGGTTGGACTGTAGTTTATAGACTAGACTATAGGCAATAGTCTGAACTTTATACTACAGACTATAGTCCAGACTAATGACTATATTTCTGACTATTAACTATAGTTCTGACTGTATAGTCCAGACTATAGACTGTTTAATCTTCAAGTTACAATTAAACTTTTATATATAGCTTTACTCTTATTTGAAATCGCCCCTACTTTTTCTTTTGGTGTAGCCACTATATGGTCCTTAGTAGAGAATAACGGTTATTATGTTGGTATTTAGAATTTGGGAATATTCCCAATGCTAAATATTAGAAGAACTTGTAGTCCAGACTAATAACTATATTTCTGACTATTAACTATAGTTCTGACTGTATAGTCCAGACTATAGACTGTTTAATCTTCAAGTTACAATTAAACTTTTATATATAGCTTTACTCTTATTTGAAATCGCCTCTACTTTTTCTTTTGGTGTAGCCACTATATGGTCCTTAGTAGAGAATAACGGTTATTATGTTGTTGATTGTGTGAGATACGTTTTTTTTTTTCTTTTGTCAAATTACGTTTTCACGTAGCTGAGCATGGAAAAAATCAATATTTCTTGGCAGAAAAATAAAGTTGGCTGTGTCAAAAGACATTGTCCTTGTTAAAGGATTTTTTTTTTCTTTCGGTGATGTTGATTTGCCGAAAATTGAATGTCAGTGGCCTTTTTGTAAAGTCAAAGTTTATATTTTTATTTATTTCCTTTTAAATTTTGGTTTTGTTACTAAAAATAAATTTCTGTTATTTATGTATAACTAATGAGCATGACATTCTTTTTAATGGAAATTCTATATAATGGATATTTTTTTTGTTTTCGGTTGAAGTCTTATTGTTTAAAAAGAAAAGATTTCTCTAAATAGTTGTTTTTCCTTTCTTTAATTCATTTTAATTTTTTAAAGAAATGTTTGTGTTTATCAAATAATTTACTTAAATTTACTATTTGTCAAGTGTTATCTAAAAATGAAGCTAGACATTTTTCTTAATATTTCCATTGCAATGTCCAGCCATGAATTAAAATAAAATATTACTCACAACTATAATTTTTATTTAGTTCTGCAACATCATTAAAATGGAAAACAACTTTGAAAAAAATATAATAGAAAAATCGCAATTACTTCAGGCGACTTATATCTTTCAATGGATATTCTGCCTGATTGGTATAAATTTGCCGCCATTATTGAATTGCTATCCTAAAGGCTATGGCAAAAAAGTTATAAAATTTATCTGGTTATGTTTTGCCATATATACTGCATTCCTGATGGCCTTGGTTCTATGGATAGTCTACATTAATAATCTGGTAGTAGATTTTGTGGTTTTTAAAAATGATTTGGATAGTATCACCAGTGTTCTGAGCATTAGTGTCAATATAGTAGTGGCCTTTGTGCAAGTGATTTCCCAAACGATAGCCATTCTTAAGCATAAGTGTCTTAAAATGATTTCGAAAAGAATAGCTCAATTAGAACGTGATATATTGCTATACTTTCAAGAATACCAATGGCTGCAGGATAATGATACGCTTATTAATTTCCATCATAGATGTGAAAGATTTTGCCGTTACATAGGTCTACGTTTTGGCTTGTACTCCCTAGTATTTGGTGTTTTAATCAGCTTTATGAACTATCATTTAGTGGCTTCCGTTATGAATGTCAGAGATAAAGTTTTGACTATACTTTGCACTTTAGCCATACAATTAAAGGCCGTGGAATATTGTATAATTGTACAGATAATCAATGAATTTCTTACATGTTTGCAAGGTTCCCTAAAACGTCTAAAATGGGAAATTGCCAAGTGCCAGGAAAAACCGTTTATGGCTGCAGTTTTTCATGGAAAATTAATGGCCAATCAAATTCTTACGAATCGTGTTTGGTTTCTGATAACAGATATAGAAGAATATTTTGCTATACCGATGCTCATTTTGTATCTTTACAATGGTATCGCTATTACTCATACAATAAATTGGACGTATGTACGTTCGTTTGACTATTTAACTAGTGATCTGGATTGTGGATTGTGTAAGTATAATTTGAAGGATAAAATTTTATCGAATATTTTGTATCTTAGTAGAAGAATTGAAGTAAATGAAACTAAATGTTTTCAATTGCTCGGAAAATGGCTGGTGACAGCCTGATAGTCAAGCAGGACAAGGACGCGACTAAGGGATACTCTCCTGTTGACAATTGCGAAAGCTAATGAAGCTAATTGTCATTGCCATTCTAATTGCATAGGGGTCAAACCATTAGACCTCATATGAAAAGAAAATCCTTATGATCTTCGACCTATTGAAAGCCTTCAATACTATTAGCTATACCCCAATCTTCCAGGATATTCTGCAATCCATAATGTCCAAAGTTATAGACGTGCTATCACAGTATTACCGCTAGTTTCACTCAGATCTCACATAACTTAAACCACCAGAGGGTTTGTGAAACGATGATCCTTTATATAACCTTTGACACTGTCAGCCATCGGCACTTTTACACGATCGCTCCAAAAATGATAAGAGATAAATCGTGAAGAAGCCAGCCTTGATTTGTATTTGTAGGACTTATTGTTGTACCAGCGAGTCCAAGAATCACGGAGTTGTTTGGCCTTGCAGTTCTTTCGGAATTTGGATGGAGAGATTCTCGTATCAAAAACTTACTAAGGACTCCAAATTTCTACATCTGAGTCAGCTTGCAATAAAATACTTCGCCTTATGACATAATTGCAGGCATATAATGGTTATTATTTTCCGACTCCCAGAGCATACACCATGTTTGGGATAAAATTTAGCTGGAATCAGATCACTCTCATATATCTGGCACGGGCAGTGGTCTCAATTCCAAAAGTTGGGACCACTACCTGTGAAAAGAGTCTTAAAGAAGGTGCAAATCGTTAAAGTTCGTATATTAGCCCCCGGGCAAACAATTCAGTAAATAAGCCCTCAGAGTTCAAGACGATTTGAAGAAAGAAACTCAAAATATAAGCTTCGTCTGTGCGATCATTGTTGTACCAGCCAGTCCAAGAATCAGGTGATGACGATATTCTTAAGATTGTGTTGTACGCATTTGACCACAGCATCCAGTTTCTTCTCGGTATGCACCGTACGTAAGGTGTCAAAGTGCTTTACAGTGGTCCTTTTCATACACATGGTGAGCGACGACTCACCACAGCCCCTTTGTGTAACTTACACACTGGTTGCAATTTTTATACATGTTTCTGCCGGTTCATTTGCTCAAGTACTCGAGCTAGCTAACCTCTGAATATTGCTGCCCCGTTGCTTAACTTCCGTTTACTACCATCCGACACACTCACTCTAGGCATACGGGTACGCACACCTCTACATACACACTTGACACCAACTCATTTCCAAAGCTTAGTTCCACAAGCACATAATCTTCCGGCGAATTTAGATTTCATCCACTGCCACCATATTCACCCCGAAAGAGCCTCTCCAATAACCGAGACAAGACAAAGTCCGAAACTCTGCCCGGTGGGCTTTAGGTTCCCGTGGCACTAGATTACGTGGTTTTCTGGTTCGACCCCATGTGAAGTGATTCCAAGGAATGACCGAGGATATATTTGATCATTAACAGTTTATAGTCCCGGTATAATAAAGGTACTGGTAACACCTCTTTTCCACGGGATTGCCATAGCACCAAGATGGGGGAAGATTCATCAAGGTAACATGCTCACTTGAGTAGCGCCATACCTACGAACGTTGTTTAACCGAAAAACTAGTTATTATGGTGTAGTTGAGTCTTTTAATCGCGATAGAAATAACGAAAGAGTTAACTGTCAAACGAAGTGTCATACTGCGTTTACTTTCGACATTTATGATCAGAATAGTCTGGAAAATCTTTTCAAATTATCCTAATTTTTTGTTGAAAATCGTCGAACTTAATGGCATTCATGTTGCAACTACACCAAAACTTCGAAAGAACATGGGCGTACTAAAGGGAATATCGCCGCTGCAAAGGAGAGTATTGAATTCGTCGTCGGTCGCTGAAATTGGGGCTATATCTTTCCATTATGTGGATAATTTTGCGATATGAACTTGATCTACACCCCTATTAGATCCTGTTTCAGGAATTAAATCCACGACACCATCATAAGCGTCGTTGTTTCATTGATTGGGATCTAGAGCAGTTGAAAACTGATCTATTGTTTTAATGAAAAATTGTGTTCAGAGATTAGGGTTATTTTTTGGTTAACGGGTTTGTTAATATACAAAATTACCGCAAATGGAGCGAGATAAATCCACAGATCCTACTACATTACCTAGAGAAACATTAACCCATTGATGCGGTTTAGACACTTGTGGCATTATCGGATATTTTTTATTCAAAAATAAGGTCGGAGCTTGCGTTACGGATAATGGAAATCGTCACCACACCATGATCAAAGATATTTTATTTGCAAATACAGATGAAATTGATTCGGAAGAAATGTGGTCTCAACAGCATACCGCTATTAGCTTTTGTGAGTTCTCGGAGCCAATTAACAGACTCATTTTGCGTTAAGTCCTTTAATGTCGTTAACGAACTTGAACTTGATTTCAACAATATTACTAATTATTCGAAAATAATTTCAGATCGTTTGTACTATATAATCTTAACATTTGTCAATATGCTACTGCCCTGTTGGATGACACAGCTATGCATAGACAAGGTCAGTTAAGGTCCCCAACTAAAGCACACATTTTCACAATTTCAATTCTATTTTCAGTATAATCAATTCGGCTCGATATTGCACAATATCAAAACGATCGACGATGTAGCTTTAAATTATCGTATTCGCGAATATTCTTTACAACTTAAGCAACAGAAAATGTTGTTTACCTGTTCGGGTTATTTCAATATAAATTTGAAATATTTTGGCTTGGTAATTGAAGAGAAAAGTATTTTGGAAGATTTATAATGTTGTTAATAATTTCAGATGATATTATCGATATCTACTTATGTGGCTATATTAATACAATTTAAATTACAAAAGGAAACGGAAAAGGCAAATATTAGATTGTAAGCTAAATTATAAAATATGTAAAAATTTAAAAGTATAAATATAAAAACTTGAAGTTCTCTTAAAAATTTTTGAAAAATTTAAGTTACTTTTGTCGTCTACTTTGTGTTTGCTGGTTATAAAGGTGGATATTAATTCTCATTAAACTCCATAGTTATCCAAGTCCTCTAACAGTCTTTATTGATTATAGTTAGTTAAATTTTATGTTATAAATACATTGCAGTACATACTCGAAATAGGTCACCGAACACATACATATAAATCGATAACGAAATAACCTTTCACCACCATTCCTTGACAGACATAAAATTTTATTATGATATTAATATCATAACGCCCACATAAGTGTTATAACTTGTTTACACTATGAAAATTATATTGTTTTCATTATTGAAATGGAAAATAATAAAAATGTAATTAATTTTGTTACAATTATAAAATATGAAATTTAAGACGTTAAACTAATAATTTGGTTGTGTCACAGACAATTGGCCATTGGGTTAAATTACATCCTTGTTGTTAATAATTCTTAAAGTCAATGTAACATTACGTAAAAAGTTGTCTCTTTTGCAACAAATCTTCATAAATTTCCTAAGATGAAGCTATACTTTTCCCCAATTCCCTGTTCATCTTTCCTCACATTTCTTAATTTTAAATTCTTAAAATATTAAATTTTATATCAACTGCCTAAATATTATCGTCATTTTCTAACCACACTTTACTTTATGTACTTTATGTCTGGACATAAAGTATATTGAAAAGGGAAAACAGTCTATCATTTCAATTGTGTAGTTGTTTGTACCTTGTTTTGTGGCAAGTTATTTTCACATTTTACCTCATACTTTCGAAAAGAAAAGTATTTGTACCCTAAATAATTGTATAGACTGGACATTTATGAAAGTCTGTTTGCTTAGCAAGGTTGTTCATAGAGTCTTAAATTTATTACTATGGATGCATGAACTGAACTAGAACTGAACTAGAACAGGACTAGAACAGAACTAGAACAGAACAGAACGGAACTAGAACAGAACTAGAACAGAACTAGAACAGAACTAGAACAGAACTAGAACAGAACTAGAACAGAACTAGAACAGAACTAGAACAGAACTAGAACAGAACTAGAACAGAACTAGAACAGAACTAGAACAGAACTAGAACCAAACTAGAACAGAACTAGAACAGAACTAGAACAGAACTAGAACAGAACAGAACTAGAACAGAACTAGAACAGAACTAGAACAGAACTAGAACAGAACTAGAACAGAACTAGAACAGAACTAGAACAGAACTAGAACAGAACTAGAACAGAACTAGAACAGAACTAGAACAGAACTAGAACAGAACTAGATCAGAACTATAACAAAACTAGAACAGAACTAGAACAGAACTAGAACAAAACTAGAATAGAACTAGAACAGAACTAGAACAGAACTAGGTCAGAACTAGAACAAAACTAGAACAGAACTAGAACAAAACTAGAACAAAACTAGAACAGAACTAGAACAGAACTAGAACAGAACTAGAACAGAACTAGAACAGAACTAGAACAGAACTAGAACAGAACTAGAACAGAACTAGAACAGAACTAGAACAGAACTAGAACAGAACTAGAACAGAACTAGAACAGAACTAGAACAGAACTAGAACAGAACTAGAACAGAACTAGAACAGAACTAGAACAGAACTAGAACAGAACTAGAACAAAACTAGAACAGAACTAGAACAGAACTAGAACTAGAACTGGAATAGAACTGAACTAAAACTGAACTAAAACTGAACTAAAACTGAACTAGAACTGAGCTATAACTGAACTAGAACTGAATGAGGCTATGCATCCATACCAATGTCACTTTTTTAAAAAATTCCTTTCGGGAATACCATTATTGTTTACAAAAAATATTCCACAATAAATACAATGTTGTAAATTAACAAAAAAAAAAAGAAAAACCTGGAAATACCACTTGACAAATCATCCGTATGCCTTAATGAATTGTGGGATTGCCAGTACTTTTACACTGACAGAAATTTTATATGCAAACGTTTATCATATATTTGTGTTAATTGAAGGTTTACAACACTTTAGCAAAAGCCGGAGTGTGTGATGAGTGTGGTAAAAATAAAAGAAAAAGTCTGTTTTCTACTATAGAATTAATTAGCCTAATACATATACCAAAACTAGCAACTTTTCAACCCTTGTTAATTGAAAATCAAAAGTGAAAATATTGTTGTCTGTTGTTGGAAAAGAGAGCTACAAGTACTACTACATAACAAAAACCCAGAGACCCAGGTAATAGAATATATAAAATATTGTTGTAGTATATTAAAAATTATATTTATTTTTCTTGTTTTTGTTTCCCATGATGCTGAGCACGTTGCTGTAGTAAATCTTAAATGCATGTGCTGTGCCAATGATAGAAGTCTTCTTCTTCTGTTCGCTTGTATGTTCAGCTAAAAACCATAACAAAATAGGGGTTGACTGCTGGGTAAACATGCACCACCCCACTATTAATTGTGGTGGTTATGGTTGTATAAGCAAGAGTTTCCTGCTTTTTTGGAAATTTAAAATGTTGCATATTTTCCACATCATATCAAGGGGGTTAGAAACCACGTTTCTGTCTTTTTTTGCTCATCATCGTAATCAGCATCTTCTTTTGGAATTGTTAAAGGTTTGTAGCTAGTTTCGAAAAGTGCATTAACCCAGGAGTATGAATGAATTTTTTGTTGTTGATATTTTTGTTGTTTGTCTTTTATTTTGTTTTGATATCCTACACCGCTATAGTGGGGAAGGTATTATGCGTTTGATTCGGGCGCCTGTAACTTTTGAGAATATTGGTCCGACGATCATCAATATAACAATCGATCTTGGAATCACTCTCTGAACTAATAAATACTCGTTCGCCATAGCTATAAAACATCAGAAACTCAATTTGAATAGAAATCGAACACATATTTGACCTAAGAAAGATTCATTTTGATTTTCTTTAAAATCGTTCCATGATATTGGGGTCAAATTGGGTCAAAATGTAGTGCGAAGTATTCAGAAATTATCTTCTGAAGTAGAGCGAAATTACATTTGTCCTTAGGTCTTTTTATGAAAAAGATTTTAACGTTCATAACTGACTTCGTAACTTCTTTCTACAGAAATTCTGTCAAAAATCTCTTCAATTAAATCCTAAAGCGGTCTCTATCTTCTTTTGAAATTGACTGTACATCTTCTGGTGTACAGTATCATAAATACCCACATTCCTCACTACACTTTCTTACTCATCTTCCCCGGCGCTTTCTCATACATAATCTCACATTGCGAGGGGGGTTGTTTTGAATAGATTTATTTTTATATAGCCCAGAGCATTCCCTTAAGGGGAGAGAAAAATTGTTGATGGCCTGTTATGTTACTGACTGACATTATTATGAAATGTATGTTTGTAAACAAGAAAAATGAAATCATCATCGTCATCATCATCATCAGTATGCTGCTTTATTATTACTTTATTTATGTTATTTAATATTTTTTTCCTTAAAAAATATGTACTTATAATGTGAAACAGTTGTTGTGAAAGGACAAAGTAAAATAAATAAAATAAATATACAAATAATAACATAGACTCATTCCATTAGTTTTAATCTGTATAATAAAATAGCTTTAATAAAGCGTATATAAAGTGATGACTCATAATCGAAGACGATGGCTATGGTTACACCGACAAATTTCGTCTGTAAAGGATTTTATAATAAAGTCATTGAAAAGATGTCTACGAAGAGTAACAATGGAAAACATTGTCATAGTAATTCCAAACGACCAACAAATTGACTCTAAAACGACTCAAAAATTACTTAAAAATCAGTCGAAACCACACAGAAGATAGTCTCATAAAATACTCTTTTAGAAGAGTTTCCCTCCCTAATTTCGTTGACTTATTTCGATGTTTCTAATAAAACCGATTATGTTTAATAGTTACGCATCATTGAGATAGTCAAGATCATGGAAAAGAGCTCTGCCAAGATAAAGTAGTCCGTGCTCTTCAAAGACTGTACAGTCAGATAGAAGGTGTTGTACCAATTTCTCTTCTGCCTCGTCTAAACAGCTTTTACAGTAGCTATACTGTGGGTAGCCCATACGTTCCGACATATATACAATTATACAGTGCCCAGTAATTATACCCGTGAGAAGCCTAATCGTGCTCCTACTAAAAGACCAGAGAGTCCTAGTCCTATCCATTGTCAAAGTGGGCCAGAGCAGTCTCGTTATTCTACAAGTGGTGATATATGACTATATAGGGTCACCAGGGGAGTGTGAATATCCCTTTGCGCAAGGGTTAAGTCTAAGGACTACCCTTTGGTTGCGCATTCATCAGATATTTAATTTCCCCGGATGTCCTCATGTCCTAGAACTCATATCAACTCAACGTGATGTTGTGTCAGTTGTGCCAATGATTGAATACAATTGAGAAGACATTTCGACTTAATAACATTTGAATTAAGAGATTTGATAGATGCAAGGCTGTCCAAGTATATATGTATAGTCGAATTTTCGAGATTTAGTTCCCGGATTCTTCTCGCGGCTGTATCGATGGCATATACCTCTGCCTGTAAGACCGGTCAAGTGTCCGGTAGTCGAAGAAATAACAAAAGGCTCAGTTTTTTCGGTGAAGATTCCAAGCCCGTGCTCCTTTCTGACTCCATCAGCATAGATTGAGAGTTCGGGGCCCAATCATCGCTTATCGGTATCTGGTCTTGAATGACCTATTAAAATTCAGTGTAGATAGTATATAGTCCGTTTTCTGATTGGGCTGCCTTCGACTGTTTAAGTCGTAGAGCAGATTTAGCAGAAATGAATTTGATTTGTTTTTAAGACTCCATCTTTTCCTAAGGGTTTTCTTATATAGAAGACACATAGTTCCTTCTTCATTCGACTCTCAGCATTACGTTCAACGTGAGCTTAGAATCTAAATTACGCCAAGATATTTGGCTTCGCTTGAGGTATTCAGAATGGTGCCATCCAA